GCCCGCACCGCCCGCGGGGTGAGGAAGGGCCCCCGGCTGTGCCAGAGGCCCCCTCTCCGCAACCACCGCCAAAGCCATGCTAAACGCCCGCCTTCCCCCTGGTCACCCCGGGTGAATGCCCTGGCTGCATGTGCCAACATGACCAAGTCAGGAACAGCAGCCACAGCTCAGCAAAGGACTTTCTCTACACGTTTCCATGACTGTTACTTGGCTATGAGGACGCTTTGCCTCAGTTCTCCATTTTGCTTGCCTAGTTACAACACAACTGTGCCAACCCAATTTTGTTTTGTTTTGCTTTGTTTTCAGAATAGGAAAAGGAATTCTTTTTACCAGACGCTCATGACATTATTATTATTCAATTTCCCCATAGTATCTATGTAGCAGAGTTTGACAGGTGCGACCACAAAGCAAACATTACACTGCTAAACATGAGAGCATTAGAAAAAGCGAGGGCCAGTCCGGCAAATGCATTTCTTAAAGAGATGATAGTATGGTGAGGTTTGTCAATATCAGGTCTGCGCTCCTTCACCAGGTAACCACCTGACCCCAATCCAGCGCGGGGAACAGGTACCTTCCTCAATTCTAGGCATTTCTATATTCCCACACTTCTGCTCGCCAACCCCGCCAAGATGTTCAGTGCGAACAAGACCACCTCTTGGAACAGAAAGGTCTGAGACATCATTCATTCATCGGACAATTATCAAGCGCTTACTGTGTACCTGGGGAAAACAGCACTGAACAGAGTACATGAGGTGCTTACATGGAGGTTAGGGGAGAGACAGAAAACAATCACAATATGTACTAGTTTGGGTAATGATGAGTGTTAGAAGAATGAAGCAACATTAAAGGAGATGGTGGGGTGAGGGGCCGGGTGGGGTATGGGGGAGGCTGATGTAATTTGAAATAGACGAGTCAGAGAAGTCCTCCCTGACATTCCGGCAATGGCTTGAAGGAAGTCAAGGAGCAAGCCATGTGGATAATGAAGTCTAGATTGGGTTGAAAACCAGTTTTCTGCAGCTACAATGTGTGCTCTTAATTGAATTAGTTTATTTATTATTAAAGTTAGTCCTCCTTATGCTTATAAGTCCAATGTAAAAAAGGTCAAATGAAATGGGTTGCCTTTCGTGTCGCCTCCATGATCTTCAGACTCAAGCATGAGACATTCATTCCCTGAGAAGCGAACAGTGAAGCTCGTTGCAGGTATCAAACTGCTTTCCAGTACATTTGCTAAATTCTCTACTGTCATAGCGAAAATTATGTCAGTCTCATTTGCCCTTTAAAGAGATGATCTTTATAGATAATATACTTCTCTACTTAAAGCCTAAATCTATTTCTTTTAAATAAACTAGATTAAAAGAATGCTGCACTGGGAAAAGTATAGACAAGGCTGGAGAACTAGAAAATGCCAAGGGCTTTGGACATCTGAGCTACATGGACTCTTCTCAGCCACCTCTGGGAGCTCTGGATAAGTTACACCTCCATCTGGGGTGCTGTGCCCCTCCTGCTAGGTGAAGATAACAGGGTCTTCTGGCTCCTCCCAAGCTAATTCTGATGATTAGTGACGAGGCATAAAAGGTGCCAGACCGCACATCATCACCAGTTGGGAGGGGTTATATTTATATCTGACCTTCAGAAAGAAGGAGCTAGCAAAACATGATTTATTGAATGTATCAACATAACATTTTAAAATATGAATTAGCACCTTTTCATCCATTTTATTCACAGCCCGTATTTTCATTTTTACTGACTTTTTAAAAACCCAGTCAAAATTCATTTATAAAACCTCCCGGTGCCCATATACTCAGAGGCTATAAATGGAAACAGAACTTCATTATTTTTCCCAACAGAGAGTATCATTTGTTATTTCTAATCTATGGCTTATTTCTTACAAACATCAAATATAACAGCTTTCCAAATGAGTAAATTTTTATGTTCTTATGAAGTGAAAGAAGATAAAGTGTTTTATAATGGCCCTTTTCAAAACTGATTAGAAAATGGCCCTTAACCTAGAAATTGTGAATTATAAATATGGGTTTACTAAGAAAACCAGAAAGGCCCTTGAAAGGTTAAAGAAATTTATAAAAACATATGAGATTTATATATATGTATACATTCATTTTTGTATGTATTCGTATTGTATGAATGCA